TTCGGTCATAGACCCTTTATAAATCCAATGACCGAAAGATAATTTGTATTAGAATTTTTTGGAATAAATTACTATAAAAATTAAAATTACCTCTATATATTGATAATATATAGGCCTAATATATATATATATATATATGTATATATATATATATATATATGAATGGCTTTCTATGACGTCATAAGTCGTAAATAAGAGGCCTGGCCCTGATATTATCAGTGTAGCATTAAAATTTTCACGCGCGCGTTTACTACTTATGTATACGCACAACTATGACTTTAATTTCTTTCAATTTGTAAATATTCAAATTTTTCCTATTAAAATATAAAGATATCGTATTCTGTTGGCTAAATCAATATCGTCTCCGATACGGCAAACACAGGAGAAGAGAAATTCACAACTCACTGTTTAGCAAATTCTACTCAACTGCAGTTGTAAATACTACAGGTCAATATTTTTCCATCGTCAGATTCTGAAGTCGTATTGTTCCCTTTGAAACTATCAATTTGCTATCTGAATGGGGTATAGTAAGAATGTTGGTTTAACCAATAGCGCGCTTTATGTAATCTATTATTATCAAATTCATGAATTCATATAAATTACATTGAGGTATTTTAGTGAATAGTTTCCGGGAATTACCGTTATCGGCGGATTGGAGGATTTAATTACAGGTCTCTATCAGTACCGGTATTCAACATCCTAATTAGGCTACATGCTTTGCATGCTGTCTTAGCATTTTTACTAATGTTGTATCGTGCAATAATTTTTCTGTGCCCGTATAATCTGCATGCTAAGCTCGTCATTATCTTTTTTATTTTCGGCATTATAATCACTTGGATTATTATTAACAATATAATAATGATAATAAACATGGTTATGAAGATAACTATTAATAATTACAATGATGACGATTTTTTTATGTTGATAATGATGTAAATGATGATTATTAAAACAATAATAATGGTGATATTTATTAGATATTAATAATATTAGTAATAAGTTTATTACTAACAACAATAATAATAAAATAGAATAGAATTACAATAATTATGATATCATTTCCTTAGCTGTAATAGAGTATACCAACTGAAAATTACCTTATTTACGGTTGTTTTTCCAATTAAAGGCTGCACACATTATACAGACAGATATTCCCTATAAAATAAAATATTATTCGCAATTAGAAAGAAGCCAAAATAATCGGCATAGCAATATTCTCCGCGAATTTATAACATCCTAATTAATCAATATCCAAATAATTACATAACCTATTTAACTTAGTAGGCTGACATAATTATACACAGTTTAGCTTTAACTATAATAACACGATGGCTTTATTACCAAAAC